CTGCATTCTGGTAAATGAGTTCCATGTTGGGTGTATTAAAACAACTGCTTACTAGTCATATGCTCACGATGATGCCACTGATAATACAAAGCAAGCTGTAACAGCTGTAACAGCTCTTGCAAGCTGTAACTCGCATTTCAAAATTTTGGAAAATTTGGACGGGTTCTTAGCAAGAATGGAGTAGTGTAGGACTTTTCATTTAGGGAAAGGACAATATTTCTTTCCATGACATAACTTTATCGCGGTTCTCATCCTTTTCGACAGTTTAATTTTTGGTTCAAAGCGCATCCCTATTTCTACTTATTCTAATCAAATTCTTTTAAGCTGCTTCAAAGAAGGAAGAAGCTTTTTGGAGTCGCTTCGGTGCATACAAAGCGAAAGCCAGTCTTATTTCTCACAAAAAAAATCACCAACGTTTGTCGTTCAATTATTACCATTTCACAACCTTTCAGTTCGAGAAATGATGCCGCTTTCAAGTGAAAGATGCATATTTCTAACTCGAAAGCCTAGTCACCTTGATAAATTCCACCGTTTTGAAGATTAGTAAATCATACGTACCCTCTAGTTTCTTAGCTGCTAGTGCAGCACCTTCTGCAGATTCTGTTTCGGAAGTTGCCATGAGCTTCGTGAGGGAGTCCAGCAAGGTAGACCAATCACACTGTGCAAGCTGGAAGTTACAAATTAGGTAAACACTTTGATTAAGAATGGCTGAAAGTTACTTCAGGAATGTACATCACTGGAAATTCCTTCACCACTTCACTCTTAGTAGTGCGTTCTGTCGAGGTTAGCAGGAAGTTAGAAAGAGTTTTCTAAAGAGAAAATTTAGGGAATGAATTACTTTAGAGACAAAGAACTGACCAGAACGGATCCAAGTGCATCGGGTTTCAGTCTTAGAAATGTCTGTATAGCTTGTATAGAGATTTTCCGTACAGTAATCTTTGAGCTTCCGAGTTTTGGCACCAGATTTGGCATCACATAGCAGATACAGTATTCGAGATTCTAAAAGCGTACTTTTGGAGAAATGAAGAGGAAAATGAGGATGGCAAATAAAAACTTCTAACAAAAAGATAAAAATCATTTCGAATTAGCGCAAATTTTGTGAAAGAACGTTTTTTTACCAATTTTCAGAACTACATATGATTCCCTTTTTTCTTAGCCAGGCTAAGCCGCCTACACGCGTTAAAAACGCAATGAAAAAACAAAAGGTGAAAAACTATACAAGCACCTGCTCAAAAACGCAGATTGTGAATTTTTGTACTTCCAGGTACTATTTATGCTTCAGAATATATCGAAAGGACATCACTAACTAACCAATTTTTTCCCTCTAGGGTGACAGCCAAATCACTTACCGATCCAAACGTCGCCATTGCTTCTTGTAAAAATTTGATGCATTGATGTTGTATTTCCCACCGATCATCCGCAAGAATTCTGTCGATATTCTTGAAGAATTCTCCTTTCCTTGGAAAGTTTGTGAACCATTCAGGATCACGCCGTGACAGTGCAGTGAGTCTATTGAAGGCCTACAAATAAATAGATCAATGCAACAATCGGAAATCAATATTGTTAGAATTTCGATTTCAGATGATATGATTTTCTAATCTCTTTTTGCTTTCGCTCTTCAACTCTATCGACTTTGACTTTAATTCCTAGCATGTGATTCTATTATTTGGCTCAAGATTATTGTGTCTGCAAGGCTTCTGTTTAGTATCTTAGTCATAAGATTCCGCGCTTTTTTCTCTCACGTGAGAAACTACGAACACCATCGTTTTCATTCAAAACTTTACATAGTCATGGTGCCAAAAGAGAGCATAGCCTTGACATTACATCGATACGCACAAAAATTTGAAATAACGTTTGAGAATAAAAAAAGTTGCTTGCATAAATTTGAGCAGCTTATGTGGATCATCTAAAAAAGGGCTCAGTTTGGGAGTGAGGGAGAGGGGGAAGGAGACACAGAATCGACTGATTGCTGCCATTTTGAAATCAATCATTAGAAGCATTTAATTTGAGCTAAAAAGTGAAATTGAGCAGCTTGTATGATGTAAAATAACTATGCAACGCTCTTTAATTTGTCAAATTATTTAATCGCAATTTCTGCACTATGTCGAGAAAAGAGGACCGAGAAGCGG